CATACATACATACATAACATACATACATACATACATACATACATACATACATACATACATACATACATACATACATACATACACATACATACATACATACATACATACATACATACATACATACATTACATACATACATACATACATACATACATACATACATACATACATACATACATACATACATACATTACATACATTACATACATACATACATACATACATACATACATACATACATACATACATACATACATACATACATACATACATACATACATACATACATACATACATACATACATACATACATACATACATACATACATACATACATACATATTACATACATACATACATACATACATACATACATACATACATACATACATACATACATACATACATACATACATACATACATACATACATACATACATACATACATACATACATACATACATACATACATACATACATACATACATACATACATACATACATTACATACATACATACATACATACATACATACATACATACATACATACATACATACATTACATACATTACATACATACATACATACATACATACATACATACATACATACATACATTACATACATACATACATACATACATACATACATACATACATACATACATACATACATACATACATACATACATACATACATACATACAGACATACATACATACATACATACATACATACATACATTACATACATACATACATACATACATACATACATTACATACATAGATTCACACCTACATTTACATACATTACACCACATTACATGCATTACATTACATTGCAGTTCAACACAAAACATTACATGACATTATTTTGCGTTGCATTGCATACATTACACACGCACATGCATGGATTGCATTGCATCGCATGGCGTGGCATCGCATCGCATCACAGCACACTACATTGAACTACATTGCATTACATCATGCTACATTACATTACATTACATTCAATACATACGTCCCACCGCAATAGCATTAAGAACAATAAGAATCATGCTACTGCCGCACGTGATGTCAATAAAAAAACTGAACTTTCCACACGGGCGCCTTTCCTTTGTCCCGCGTCAGCCTTGCGCCTTGGGATTTCCATCTCCGGCTTGGGCCGCGCGGATCAGCGCGGCCACGGCGGGGTCCTACCGTGGGTCGGATGGGTGTTAATCCTTCAAGGGGCAGCTGGTCCTCCAGGGGGGAGGTTAGAATAAGGGCACCAACTTGTTCTGTTTCGGAACGTTCCCAACCAAAAAGGGGGGTGAGAAAGGGCACTACTGGGGGACCTAGATGAGGAAAGTGGCTTGGAATAACCGTGGTTCCAACTTAAGCTACAGAAGGTATGGCAAAAATGGCCAGGCATAGACCACTTACGAAGTGCCCGATCGCCCCTTCAAGTCCGGGGTTCCCAGTTCAGGCGAAGTGCGAAAGACACTCAGGGGGGTACACACCATTTTCCACCTGAGGCCATTTCCGGAGAGGCTTCAGGCCAGTTCCCCTTGAGTTTCTCAGAGACACCCATTACCATGCCTCTTGAAAACCGACATCATGAGGGCTGGGGGAGGGAGGGGGGCGGGCGAAGCCCACATAAGCCCTCAACCCCCATGAAACATGCACATAGACGCAATTGTCATTTCCCCCCCCCAATTGTTAGTTTTCCTGTCAGCTCCCCTTTACAGCCACCAAAACATGGGCAAACCCCCCCCCCACCCCCAAATGCTGATTTTCCTGTGGGCTCCCCTTCAAAAACGACCAAACCTGGGGAACCCCGAAAAAGACGAGGGCCCGTGTCCACTCCCAGCGTCCGTCCTTCGTGTCCTCCGCGGGGGTCCGGCCCTTGCGGTCGAGACTGCTGGGGCTGGCACCCGACTCCAGAAGCAACTGCACCACCTGCAGAGCCATGGAGAACCCGAACCATACCAATCAGGGGACAAATGTTCCCGGCCGGTTTTCCTTTTTTTATATGAGGAAACGTGACCTTTCTGAGGAACCAGTGGCAATCAGGGGACAAAGTGTCCCCTTCTTTGCTTGTGAAGAAATGGGTCTTTTTGAAGGGGGGGTTCCGCTGCTTAGGGGCCGCCAGGATTGATCCGAGGTCCAAATGAGCAAGGCTTTGAACCCATGGTCGGGGCGAAGGAAATAGGGGAGATTAGATATGGTGTGCATGTGCTCCAGCACGGGTTCAGAGCCAACTCGCAAGAGCCATGGGATTCTAGCCCTCCATCGCCCAAAAGCTGGCTCCCTGCTCTGAATCAATATGTGATCGTAGTGCACCCTTTGAGGGGTTTTAATGGGAAACCACCTGTTGAGTGGTACCTCTTTCAGGGTCGGTACCACTTTGCTGTGGTTTAAGGGAAGACCAAAAACAGAAGGGAACAAAAAACAAAAAAACTAGCTGATCACCGACGTTAGAAATAAGCGTCTATACCGACCCGCTGAACCGACCCCCGTGGAGGCATTTTAAAGGGAAATCAAATGGAACCGCGTTCTTGGGAGGAGGCATAGTTGATTGGTGACCTCCTTTGTTCCAGCTTTTGATTTGGGACCCTGGCGGTGAGGATGATCCACATGCTAGTTGGGAATTTAGGCGACCACGAAGGTGTGCTTCGCTCTTGGGCTGCTTTTGTGACCACCCCTCCAAAGGGCTTTGATGGCATTGTCCTTTTGGTTTTTCTAGGGGTACCTTCCCCATTCTTTCGAGGGATCCTTCTTTCTAGCAAACCTCCAAAAACCCAAGGAAAACGACCGGTTTTTGGAAAGAACGATGGCTGAAAAGAATGGGGAATCAACCTCTAGAGTTTTCCTTTAAAACCACCAAAAAGTAAGTCAAAAACAAGACACACGCACTTCATGTTAATCCGAGTTGTGTGTGGCTGGCTCACGTGCGATCCGCTGCGTTCCTAAACATTGGTAAATGTTTTGGTGGTGGGGGAAAAGGTGGCGTGAATTCCCTCTCAAATGAGACACGCCCGAAGCTCATCTAGGGATGCATTGATCATGGGTCAGCATTTTTTAGCTTCTCCGAGCCTGTAAATAGTTGCTCTGCCCTCCAGTGCAGGGCCATGACAAGCAGATGTTGGCTGGGGGTCTCGCAACAAATTCAATCCCAGGATTCATAAACCCCCATTGAAGCGATGCACCCTAAACCCTAAGCCCAACTCGAGAAATAAAGGCAAACCAGGATTGCGAGCATTTGCCCGGCCCCAAAAGTGAGACAAACAGCACCCCACGCGCAAGCTTGTGAGGCAAGGCAAACCAGGCGTATCTGTGCATCTGCACGTCAAACAATGCGCATACGGGCGAGTGGCTGCTGTTCCTGACTCATGTCTGGGGGATAGGGGGCCTCATTCACAGGCTCCCCATGCAGGACCCAACACCGCCCGTTTTGCCAGGGGACCGTCGAAATCTTGTAGCAACCCACAGACCACTGAACAGAAGATCCGCCAGGGGGTGTTGATGATCAACCGGGTTCTTGTTCATATGGGCGTGTCTTTTTGTGATTTTCAAGGAAACCAAAAAAAGGAAATGTCTTTTTGAGGGTGCCCCTTTTTGTGGTTTTAAAGGAAAACCAAAAAATGAAACCACTTTTTATTTTTGTGGCTTTCAAGGACACCCAAAAAAGGAAACCACTTTTTTTGGGGGGGCTAAAAAAGTGCACGCCCACATGTTCCTTCTGAGCCCTTGGTTTGAATGCCAAGGCAACTCGGGATGCTCTGAGCGATGTATGGGCGTTCAGTAACCCCAAAAACAAGCGTCCAAGCGGGATTCTCAACATGAGAGCCCCAAGAAATGGTTGGTGTTCATTTCGGCAGAGCCTACTGAGTGCAGTTAAGTCACAAGGGAAACCTAAGTCCTTCAACGGCCCCAGTTGGCTGAGAGGGACGAACAGGTTGGGCTCCCCCAAAACCATTGAAAACCAGCCCACCCACCGTCCAACCAAACCCACCCACCCAACCACTCAAATCAGCTAAAAAAAAGCAAGCCCACCAAACCAAACCGAGCAGCAAAACTCCCGCAGAACGCACAAAACGCCCGAACGCCGAACGCGCCCCCCGCTTGGCGCTCGCCTGCAGGTGCTGGTTGAACGCTGCGAAGTGCATGGGGCTCTGCAGCTTCGCATTGGGCTCGTCCAGGTCCAGGTCTTTGGACTGCCTCAACTTGAGTCAGCACCCTGAAACCCACAGGATAGGGCAACAAGAGAGATCAACCTCTCGCGGACCCACAAAACTCAACCACTCACCCACAAAACCACACCCTGAAACCCACGGAATGGGGGAACCAAGGGATGGGGAACCGTTTCAGGGCGCCGCAATGGCGGGCTGCAGAGTGCAACCAAATTTTGTCACAGGACAACTGGAGAGAGGACGGACCTCAAGCTGCCAGGCATCCCCGGGAATGGACAAATGGCAATCCAAGCACCTGGGAATGTGTCCATCCAAGTAAGATGTAAGCACAGCACAGAACCAGAACCAGGGGCAACGCGAAGAGTTGATGCTTGGATTCCAACTGGGCAAACATTCTGATGGCCAAAATCCCGCACCAGCTGGTAGTTCATCCCGACATTCGTTGGGCTTCATCCTATGTGGTGCCTGGCGCGGAGTGTGTCCATCCACAGCACGTCAGGGGTTGGGGATGAAGGGGACAAAGGTTTATTCAGGAAACGATGTTGTCTTTCTTGGGAATTATCGTGTTTTCACTCCTGGTGCGAAGAGGCTGTAGCCTACACCAGCATGTTCTCACAAAAATGCACTCAGCGCTGTCAACATGTCCGGCATGGGTTTGGCATTGGGTTGGTTTGGGGTACCGGAATGGTTTAGTGCGTGGGTTTAGGGTTGGTTTAGGGGGTTTGCTAGCATTCGTTCAGCGTTAGTTTAGGGTGGATTTAGGGATGGTTTTGGGTTAGGGAAGTCGTCGGATGGTTTTGGGTTTAGGGCTGGTTTATGGTGGTTTAGAGCTGGTTTAGGATAAGGTGTATGTCGGGATTTGTTGGGGCGGGTTTTGGGGCGGGTTGAGGGTTGGTTTAGGATTGGTTTAGAGTGGATTTAGTGAGGGCTTCGGGTAGCCTTAGCGTGGCATAGGGATGGCTTGGTGTGGGTTTAGGGTTGTGTGGGTGTAGGATGGGTTTGTTGGCTTAGGGCGGTTTTAGGGTTTCTGGTTAGAGGTGGTTTGGAAATGGTTTATTGCCGGTCTAGAGTGGTTAGGGCTTAGCTTTAGTGGTGGTCCACAAGGTGGGTTTAGGGCGGGCTTTGATTCTTTGCCTGTGATGGAGGGAGCCCACCAAAAAGCTCAGTCAGTTTGCCAACAGGCAAGCATTCCCAACAAAGTGTAAAGTTTGTTGGGGGTCTTTCCATTTTCTTGGCATGGGGGGGCCCCAACAGCGCTGTTGTCCTGTTGGCTTCCCTGTAGACCAAGGTGAAAGTGTCCGCAGAAAAAAGCACACCCTCGGTTGCTTTCTGCTCCCCTGCTAAAAGTTTAACTTGTAGTGGTTTGATAGAAACAAGCAAAATGCAACAAAGCACCCATGCGAGTATCCAAAGACCACTAAAGCTGCCCGCTATTGAAAAGCCGCCGTCGGTGGAGAGAGGCCCCTCGGCTCCGCTTGAGGCCCAGGCAGCAAGGTGCGCAAGACCTCCAGGTGTCCACGGCGACAGGCGCGGGAGACCGCCGTGTTGCCCAAGAAGCCTGGACTCATTGCGAGAGCTCGTAGGCGCGGAGTGGGATAAACCCCGGTATTCATGTGGCTGTGGGTCAAAACCCTCCCCTGGTGAACATCAAAATAGCTGGCAAATGGATGTTCATCCACCCCAAAATGGAGCCATGGGTCATGCCCCGTGTCCATGTGTATTGAAAGGGCTTCATGTTTGTTCCCACGTTGGCCAATGTTTTTCCATCGGCAAGCCTTCAGGGAGCGGGGTAAAACCTAGGACCCCCCCCCCACCCTTCCTTTCTACCGTCCATCCACAGTGTGCATGTGCAGCACTTGCGTGTTGTGTTGCGTGCCCTTTTGGCCCAACTACCCTACTAGAATGCACAAACCCGAATTGATAAATCCCTAAGAAGGTCACTGAAACACTTCAACCACAAACAATCGGTCAGCTCACTATAGTTAGTGCAAATGCGGGGTGATGTGTCACACCTTGTCTGTGACAGCTAAACAAAAAGGACACCCTCCAGCAAAACACCTTTATCTGGCTTCTCCGAGGAACTGATTCGGGAGACCCCAAAGCTTTCAGCTGGAGACAAAGTACAATGGTTGAACAGAATTGGGAATCAACTAGTTACCAAATCTCGACCAAAAGTGCTGGTGAGTTAAGGTCGCATTTGGTTGCAGGACCAACCTGCAGAAAACAAAGAAGAATAAAGCAGACGAGGTGGGGAGCTCAATGATTGAACAGAATGGGGAATCAATTCCCTACACCCTACAACGGTGGTTTATGCCAGTAGTTGTAGGCAGTGCATTAATCCCAATTTCAAAAATACCAGGGGTTCGCGTAGCATCATCAGAATAGAAAGACGGTTGAGCAGAATGGGACTAAACATGAAAAGGGGCGAAGTTTGAGTAGAACGATGGCTGACACTGGGAATTAACCCCTACAGACATCACTTGACAGGTGGTTGATCCGAATATGTCTAGGGTGTTTCGTTCATGCTCGGGTGGAATTCACCATCAGAAATTAAAAAAGAAAGGAGAAGAAAAAATATGAGAAAAAGAATAAGAAAAAACAAAAAAGGAAAAAAAGAAACAAAAACAAGAAAACGGCCACAGCATTCATTGGCTTCACATCTCGCCTTTGGCGTTGGCAGCCACCCCCGCGCTCAGCAGAAGCTCCACAGCGCCCACGGCGCCAGCATCCGCCGCCCAAATCAGCCTCGGCAGCAAAGGACCGGGACACCAACGGCGGTGAGGAACAATGGCCACGGGTCCAAACCCAAACCGTACCCCCAGTGAACATCCCAAACCAACCCCGAAATGGGATCCCATTGGTTTTGCCCAACAGCCAAGCTAGCCACGCCAATTGGAACACTTAGCACGCAATTGGAGATGTCGCAGGAAGATCGGCCACATTTAGGATTTCAAATGCAAACGGACCCAAAAACCATATGGGTTTTTAGGAGAGTCGCCAGATGAGAGTCCTTTTGGTGGGGTTCATGTGGGAAGGACATGTAGGGACTGCGCAAGGGACTTCACACGGCTTCCTCATAGGCAAGAGGACCACTTTCCTATATTCACAAAGTCAAGGGAGTAAAGACAGCGCGGGAGTCAGATAAGTAGGTAAGCTCTTGCTTACCCCACCTTTCACCACTGCCTGTCCCACTGACCTCGAAACCATCCAAGCACCTGCATACTCCCTTCCCACTAACATCTGGCAGGCCATTCTCCTCTTAAAGGGGCATCCCGGGTGCAATCTTCGTGGGAGGGAAGGTTGGACTTCCAAAGGTACAAACATAGCATGTGACGCCGTAAGGCAATGAGAGGGAAATCCGGGGAACCGCTGCTATGCCAACGCCTGAGTACCAACTCCTCAGGGAAATGACTTATCTTGTGGGAAGCTCTGAACAGTACTTGGTTTTCGAACAGAAGCAAAGGCGGAACTGGCAGCATTGAAATAAGTACCCCGCAATCGCGGAAGTGGAGGCGTTCCCCCCCCCCCTCCCCCCAACCCGCCGATCCGCTTCCATGATTTGGGAGCCATGCAGTTGGACTACGGCGTGTGCACGGCCCCTGCTGTTCGGCGACATATTTGCCTTTTCTTTCCCGCCTCTATGCCTGCCAAATGACAAGCACACCTGCTCGAGAGCATGCCAAATGAGAAACGCACCCACTCAAGCGCACCCTCTCAGCACCTTGCAGTTCGCCATCTGCTTTTCTAAACAGAGACTTGACCAGAGCAAGCATGGCTACTGCAGCTGAAAGTCCTGAAGGCAAGTTCCGTTCTGCGCAGCATTTCGTGATCAAATGATGCGTTGACTGAGGGTGAGAAACCAGGGTATTTGGGGTGAAGTCATGTGCTGACTGCAGATCCACAAGCATTGCCACAACACAACAAAAAGCACGCGGTGTGTTTATGGAAACAGGAGTCGCTGCAATGCTTGATCCTTCCACTGGCAAACCGCTCGGACCGCCAGATGAGAGACTTCCTGTTAAAACGAATACGATGAAGATAGAAGAAACTAAGAAAATGAATCCTGTATCTTATTGGGCGCCGTTTTTTAAACATTCGCAGAAAAATGGAATTCTGGGACTGGGTTAGTAACCCACATGCTTCGAGTGCATTGTCTGGATGTGAGAAAGAAGAGAACCTGAATGCAATCTTTGAAGAGGACATAGCTCCCATCAGGGCCAAAGTAACTTCTTCATATTCACAGTGTTCCTTTTTTATCCACCTTCACTCACTCTCTGGTATCTTACCTTCTCTACCTGAAGAATTCGCAGAAACATACTACTAACAGCAAGAAAACGACATAATACGAAACACTGGTAAAAGAAACAGCCACTGGCCTTTCGACTCCTCCCCAGAACCAGACGACCCAGAACCACTCGACCCAGAACCCCTTGGCTGGCCCCTGCACATGGCAAGCTTGCAGCTTTTCCAACCCATCGTCCAAGGGGCGGGGTATTTCCGAGCTCGTCCGGCGCTTCCAAGTCCTAGATTCCAGGCGCGGCATTTTCAGCCCAGACATGCCCGGAGGATGTTGATGTCCAACAACGCTAGGCCCGGTCTTCCCCCGAAACCGCTGATCTCTCCTTTCAACCTATACTTTCCTCGCGGCACATGTCAACACAGCCCTGCCGTGCGGTGCATTTCAACATAGCCTTGCTTCACAGAACTGCTCACCATAGCTCTGGCCATACTGAGATTTGTTACGTAGCAAGGCTATGCTGAGACTTGTTGTGCAGAAAGGCTATGTTGAGATGCACCTTGCCGCAAGGCTGTGTTGACATGTGCTCTGCGGCAAAGTAAGGCTACAATAGCGCAAAGCTTCACACAACAGAGCTACGCCAGCAGAGCTGCAACATAGCAAATATGCGCAAGGTGGTGCCTGACAGCCAGCGGACCAACGGGGAATTGTGCCCGGCCACCCGATCCCGAGAGCAGGCGTGCAAGCCTGTAGCAAGGAAAGCCAAATCTTTGCACGAGCGCTTCTCCACGCAAGATCCCTCAGCGGGTTCGTCGGCTTCGTCGAAACCCCACATGGCGCCGCAAGAGCGATCCGGCATGGACGATTTCCGCTGAGGGTTCGTCCATGAGCTTTGAAATTCGCACAGTGCAGCGAGAGCGATCCTACGTGCGATCCCGCTGAGGCTTCGTTGGCAGAGCTGAACTGGGCAGAGCTGGCCGGAGCGACGCAAACACAACAACTCTGTTATCAGAGGCTGAACCCTTCGCTACGCTTTCGGGAAAAAATGGGCTCGGCTTCCTGGTTGCCAACCCACTTTGCATACCCCATTTTGTGCAAAAAACAGCAAGCCTTTCGGGGGCATGTATGTTTCGGGTAATTATATAGAAGGGCTATATGCAAACAGCTCTAAGACGTATGATTTGATACTAACCCGTCCCAAACCGAACCTTCAGCCGACCCAAAACGCAAAGCCAATCAACCCCAAACCAAACCTGACCTCAGCCAACATGAAGCCAGCCCCAAACCCGCCCAACCCCAAGCTCACAGCTCACCGCCCCTTTTTTCCGCCCCAAACACACCCACTTAAAGACTCAAACCAACCCCAAGCTCACCCTAAACAATAAGCCAACCCCAGGCTCGCCCTGAATCGACCCAATCAACCAACCCACCCCTTTTATTTTTGCCCAAACACACCCACCTAACTGCTCAAACCGACCCCAAGCTCACCCTAAATGGCTGCTCCCTAAGCCAACCCCAAGCTCACCCTATGCCCTAAGCCATGCTACATACCCACTCAAATGCTCAAACCAACCCCAAGCTCACCCTAAACCCTAAGCCAACCCCAAGCTCGCCCTGAATCGACCCAATCAACCCACCCACCCCTGTTTTTTGCCCACTTAAATGCTCAAACCAAACCCAAGCTCACCCTCAACCCTAAAGAATCAACCCAGACACTCCCCCCCTTTTCGCCCCCCCACACACTTACATGCTCCCTAGACCAACCCCAAGCTCACCCTATGCCCTAAGCCCCACCCCTTTTTCCGCCACAAACACACCCACTCCAATGCTCAAACCAACCCAAACCCTAAGCCAACCCAAGCTCGCCCTGAATCGACCCAATCAACCCACCCACCCTTGTTTTTGCCCAAACACACCCACTTAAATGCTCAAACCAAACCCAAGCCCCTGAGCTAGCCCTGACCCAACCCAAACATACCACTCAAGTGCTCTAAACCAACCCCAAGCTAGCCACCCCACTCATGCACCCCAAAAATAACTCCTCCCACCCAAAAGCACCAGCCCAACAAGCCATCCCCAACCTGCCTAGACCCGCCAAACCTGCTAGATCAGACTCAACCCACTAAGCCAATCCAAAGACTTGCCTGAGTCGTAGTTGGGGCTCTTTAGTGTCCATAGGGTCCCTGGAGCACAACCCTGGCAAACAATTTGAGAACGTACCATGCTGGCCACCATTCTCCTGGCCCTGTAACGCAGGCCCCAAAGCTTCCCGAAACGGGGTGTCAAAAGGGGAAAGCTGCAAAAAGGGCGAGCTCAGCCTATCGTCGAGTGGAACCAGCCACTCAAGTACCCTTACTTTAAGATTGGCCCAAAAGGAGATGCTGAACACCGCCCCCCTTTCAGAACCATAGGGAACCCTGAACCGACAAACAGCCAAACGCGCCAAATATTATGTACCGGCAACCACCTCGTTTTCAGCCACGAGGTGGAACCAGTCACCATCAAAACCTGGTCCAGAACCACGTAGAGAACCGAAAAGAAGCCCGGAAATCCCCACCCATGGCTGGGATTGTCCCCTATCCTCACTCATTCCCCAGTCACCTTCACAACCTGGTATAGGATCATGTAAATAAATAAAAAAGCAAAAACAAAAACAAAAAAGAACCCGTTTATGGCCGGGATGTGTTTCTTTTTGTTTTTTGTTTTTGTTGCGGGGTTTTGCTGGCGACTCCTCCGCCACTTCCGCCCCAAAACCTCGCCTCCAGCGCCATGCCCCGCAGCAACTCCGCCGCGTTCTCCGCCGCCGCCCGCGCCGCCGGCGTCCGGGGCGCCGGCGGCGCCTTGGCGCCGGCGTCTGGGGCGCCGGCGGGGCCTGGCCGCGGGGAAGCCAACAGGCGTCGGTGTCAGTTGGTGACGTAGGCCGTGGGCAAAAGGTCAGAATGAATTCTGATTGGAAATAGTGGGGTGACTTCCGGATGGTGTGGGGCATTGGTGGAATATATGGACAGAAACAATGGTTGGTAAAAGTTGGTGTGGAAAATGGCATCAAAAGAATCTGCATCAAAAAAAAAGTACGAGTATGCTTATTGATGCAGTACTGCAGGGTTGATTTCGTGGGCCACACACAGCCCCCCGCCCCATCCGTCCATCTGTCAAGCGGCTGAAACTTTTGGATCCCAAAAAAGAGGCCCCTGCCTCATAAGTTCGAGTCCCGCGTGAACAGTTTCAAGGGCTGCTCAAGAGTGGTTTCCCTGCAAATCGCCGTTTGAATTGTCATCTTGAGGATGTCAGTATGGTGTCAAATCAAGGTCAGAAACACTTCCCACAGCAAGGACTTTCAGAGACTCGCTCACCAAAACACACTGTGGCCATGACCGGCGTTCATCCCAAGTTGCCCTTGCCATCTGCCCTCAAAAAGCGCAAACCAGTTTCCAGCAAATTAAGCAGGGCTTTCCCAACATCTGGGGCCCCACTGGCTGTCCTGTGGTTGAAACCAGGACTGGACCCTTCTGGGTGATCCCTGCCTGACAACTGGAAGTGCTCCCACAAGAGCCCAGGCAGCTCCTGCAGGCTGTCCACCACGAAATCGGCTCCTGAGCACTCCCTCGCTCTGACCAGGCTCTTCGCCGTTCCAACCAAAAACTGGAGGTCATCACGGCCGTGTCTGATTGTTAGACCCCCCAAAACTGGCTTCGGAGTTCCCTTTTGGTTCCCTTTGAGAAGGAAAAAAGACAGGCCCATTGCGGCTAGTGCCATACCTCAAGGCCACAAGGCCAGTCCGGCGAGATGTGAACGCTCCCACAAGGAAACGAAATTTTTCGGGGCCTTGGCTTCGATCATTCGCTCCCTTGACAGCTCTGCCTTGTCGTCCCATCTGAGTCCACAAGTTTGATGGATTTGGCCGGCACTAAAGATGAAGAAGAAAAAAAGCCTATCAGACTTGCTCAGCCAACAAGTAAGCACTTTTTGGAGGGCCCCTTGCGGGGTGCCCTTGGCAACCACCAAACCTCGGATTTGAACCAGAAGGACCGAATCGCTGATCGAGAACTCACCCGCAAGGAATCCCCGCCCCTCCCAATCGAACGTCGGCCCCCCTGGATTCATCAACCGCATTCAGAAGGTGTGTGTGTGTGTGGCTCTGCCAAGTCGGATTCCCTCTTAAGTCGGACAAACAAAAAGACGAACCCCACATATTGATAAATGATGCGCTTAATCATCTGTTTCAGAACCTGGCGCCGGCAAAGGCCGAAGGGACCCAAAATGCGGGAAGCCCAGCTCGCGGAAGTCCCAAGAAGACAACAAAACAAAACATGGCTCCTGGCATTATGAGGGAAAGCGAACAATTTCTTTTTGGTCCCGGTGGTTTCCCTTGACCACTTATTTGCCTCGCCGAGGATTTTGAGGATGGCCGAATGTGGACGTCTGAGCTTCGGATGCGCAGGGAATGCGGATTCGGGCCGTTCGATCCCCAAAGGGTGAACAAACCGACGCGTTGAACCCCTTGTCGGTCAGCCAGCCATGGCTGAAAAACACACCAAGTCGATGACCCTTAAATAGGCCCCCCCCCAAAAAAAATGAAAGAAAAACACACACATCATTCTCCTTTGTAGTTCTAGACCGGCACTTGTCATTTTGGCTGCTTTACATGTAATATACAAATTACACACATCATTTTGTTGGTCCCTTCCGGGTGGCTTTGAGGTAGGGACGCCTGAGAGATCTGTCCAAGCATCCCAAGGTGGCGTCGCGGTCACGGTGCGCACGGTTGGCATCCACCAGGGCGGTGGACACCCCAGCAGCCTTGCCGAAGGCGATGTCCTAAGATGTCCGAAGGTGCACGCGGTTGCAAATCAGTCAGGTTGCAAGTGGGGCGTGAAAAAAAAAGCATATATGTGTATATATATATATATATATATATATGATATTTTATTTTTTATTTAAAAAAAAAAAATGCACGCGGTTGCAAGTCAGTCAGGTTGCAAGTGGGGCGTGAAACAAAATGCATATATGTGTGTATATATATATATATTATTTTATAATAAAAAAAAATGCACGCGGTTGCAAGTCAGTCAGGTTGCAAGTGGGGCGTGAAAAAAAATGCATATATATATATATATATTATAACTTTAAAAAAACACCGAGAAAATCATAAGTTCCCTGGGTGGCTTCCCAATATGGGGACCCGAGAAAACAAATCTGGCTTCCCTGGGCGGCCTTCCCTGGGAAACGGACCTGCAATGGGAAACGAACCCGTGGAAAGTGTCTGAAGGAAGCTTCTGATCAAGGAACCGGTTCCGACCTGGGTGGGTCACCCGGACGACGATTTTCTCCCTCTCTGGTAAAGGAAACAAACCAACAACTCGCTTTCCAAAAGGAGACTGTCCTTCGGATTGGCGGGTTGGTGTTCGTGTGGCGAACCATCTTTGAAAGGTCTGGGAGGAATATCGGTATGGGTCCGAGTTTGAAGCCCTGAGCTCTTAACTCATATGGCCAAGGGCCAAGGGACATGAAATCCATGCAACAAGAAAGTGTGGGTGTGTCTGCTTTGGAGTTGGTACTTTTTTGGGCTGTTCTTCAAGGGCAGCCTTAGGGGAAACCATTTGACTTTGTAGGCCTTTGAAGTCATCATACTAGGGCTCCAAGCAAGTCGAAACGTGATTTACCAACAAACCAAATGACCGCCTCCCTACCGGTTTGGCGGGGTTCCAAGACCCAGGCTTCATGAGGCTCTCGAAAGCACATGTCTGACCGCGGTCAACGGTCCAGTGAAGCCCAAGGAACATTGCAGGGAGAGTCCCCAACCATCAGCAACTCCGGGCCCAAGGGGATGCCCCACTGCTTCGCGATCAGTTCCTCACGCGTTCCGAGATGTCAAATACACCCCGCCTCGCACTCGTTGGTAATTGAAAAGGCGATCGGATACGTCAGGTAAGTGGTTTGTAAGCCTGGTGAGATAGCCGAGGAGACTTATTTCGTGGGAAGTGGGTTATAGCCATCGATATTGCCCACTTACTAAGTACAACGCTCCTTGAAGTAGGGGATGTTGAATGGGATACTCTCCCATCCACCAACAGGGAACCTAGCTGAGGGGGGTAAGAAAGGAGTTGTGGTGGTCAAAATGCCTGGCAACACAACACACATTCAATGCTCAGCAGAAAATGGCGGCAAGTTAACTAGATTACCGCCATAAATGGAGAACCTTGGATTCCTTGGCCTGACGCATGATTGAAGCCAAACGTGCACCTGCACAAGGCGTGCAATGCGCGCAACCAGAGCGTGCAAAACGCACTCCTCCCCACCTCAGCCGAACTTGCCTTTGTTAAATTTGGCGGCAAGTCATTGGAAAGGAATGCTACACAGTTGACAGCCCAGGAAAATCCTCCCCCAACCTCGAACACCCCTACCCTATCAGTCCAACGACCTACTTCAAACTCAAAACTCGATGTACATTTCGCCAAAATAGAATAAAATCTCCGTTCAAACTTTCTCGCCCACGTGTCCATGGCAGCCGGGTGGGGCTTGTGGGGCAAGAACTCCCGGCCCACGGCAGGGCAGAACTTGGGGAGACGCTGCCAGAGCCCCTCGTGCAGGTGCTGCACCGTGGTGAGTGTGTTGCCTGGGGAGCCAGAGAGCCAGACCCCGGATGTTTTCTGCGGGAGAAGAGCAGAAAAGCGCCCCCCAAGTCCTTCTTTTACTCTGACATACCATAAATGGAAATTCCGAAAATCAGAAGGGGCGATGGGGTATGAACAGAAAGGGTCACAACCAAGGCAAGTGGGATTTCACCCACTTGCAAAGTCTGACTTGTCAAGAGACCCCTGATCTGTGATCTGGTCGGTTGCGCCGGACCGTGTACGCACCAAGCGGCAATGCAGAAATACCCATGCTCCCAGACCCCCCCTATGGTTTTTATACAAATGTCGAAGGAGTTTGTGATTGCTCTTCAAATGCCTGCCTTCTTTCATGTTATGGAAAAAATTATTTCATTTGTATGTTTTTTGTTTTTCGTGGCAAGTACCTATTTTTTTAGTCTTGTGGACAGGGTGATTAGGTTCAAGGAAGGGAGGAGAGGGGAGCTGCAAGTGGATTTTTTTTTGGAAACTGCAAGCTAAATGGACCATAAATGGATGGGTATGGTTGAGGAAACCCTCTCATCCAGATTGGGACGCTGTACAACCCATGCCAAGCTGTTGTTAATGTTTGGATGGGGGCTTCGGGACCGGGCCAAACAAATCCCATCATTCCGTTCTTTGGCTCTCTCTCCCAAAGTTTTGAAATCGAGTTCTCAACTTGAGCTTTGGGGGCTGGAACTTTTGCAGGGGCAGGACTTGCGGTGGTTGGACGTGAACCTTTCGTGAGGCGAGTCTAACCAGAGGAACTACATTCTTCCTCTTTCCAGCAATGGACGATCGGCTTCCCAAAAAGGAAGGCAGCCTTCCAAAGCCCTCCTGTTAGCTTCGTAGAGGGAGACCAAAAGGGAGAACCAAAATCCCCAGGGTGGGGGGTCCACTGTTTTGACGCACACCTGCATGATAAACCAAGTTTAAGTAAGGTGGCATAGATGGTTGACTTCATATAGATGAATCTTCATGACTGGTATTAATAATGGGCTTTCCAGATGAAGAGTGGAATTGGTTGATGATTTTTGAGGGGGGGGATGTTGCTTTAATGGAACATCTATTGGGATGGCCTCTTCTTGGATCCGGGGTCAACATTCGGCAAGAAAACCCCATGGACAAAAAATCAACCCAATTTAGACTACAACCAATAACCAAAAAGAAAAAACGGTTGCCTATTAAAAGAAAGCCGGCGACGACTCGCCGGACCTGTTCCGTGGCGAAACTTTACCGCCTTGAGCCCGGGTTCGACACCACACGTTTGCCGCCAGAGGCGCGGGTCACGATGGCCGCGGGGAGCTGCCAGCCCCGCAGCCACCTGCCCAGCTCGCTGGCGCCCGGCGCCAATTGCAGGGTGCGGCGCCCCTCGTGCTCCATCTCCTCGGCCAAAGAAAAAGAAACGCAGGGAAGTAGGGGGCCCGGCCTTGGCTTTTTTTTTGGGGGTGGGGGGGCCCAAAAAAAACAAAACACCTCTACCCCGAAAACCGCAAAACGTACAAGGAGGTAGTGGGCCCGATTATTCTTGGGATAGAGATAGCCCAAACGCTGCAAAACAGTTCTTGGTGCAACGTGGTAGTCAAAAAGGAGTTCCCAGCTGACTGGCGGAGCGAGGCTTCATTGGCGTGACCTTCCCGGCAACCCTGCCAAAGCGGATCCTGCCAAAATGTATGGGCACCTAAAAGTGGAGCAAGCCAACACCACTCACTCGAACGGGCAAGATGCCCCCGCCCCCGCCACTTTCGCGGCCCAGGTGCCTCAATAATCTCCTCAGCTCGGCGCCTCTCCTCATCCTTCATCTGCCCAACCGCGTGGAGCAAATCCTCATGGGGCGGGACGTTACAGCGCGCGTGCATCAAGCGGAAGTCCAGGTTTGGCACCTCGACACGCAAGTGGCCGCAAGATTGAAGATTGATCTGAAAGCCTTTAGTTTTCATCAGGCTGGTCCAAACCACGGAGGGAGAGGTTAAGCAGGTGTTTGGTTTTCATCCGGCTGGCTCGAAACCACATAGGGGGATGTTCTTTGGTGGGCGTCCCTGCCACTTCACCGAAGTCTTCAAAACAACAAGATTGTTTCTCCGATCCAATTGCTTTTGGAGTTTGAGGCAATACGGGGAGGCACTGGTTCCAGCTCCTCCCCCCGCCTTCACTTGGCCTGCGACATGCGGGAAGCCACTTTGGTTCACGTGTTGCCTTCAAAAAAGCGCTCAACTGCGAAAAGTTTGGTGTTCAAAAAAATGAGGAGTCCCAAATGCTAATCCATCATCTGAACTGGGCCTACAGCCTACAGCAAGGGGAAACTGCATAACTGCTATTACAATAATTTTTGGGTAACCCAGACTGTCATTTGCCGAGTCGCGGTCAAGGTGCCGTCCAGATCAAAAATCACCCCGCGCAGCACCGGTTTTGCCGCAGCCATGCTTCGCAAGCGACGTTGAAACACCATTGGTGGCACGCAAGCTTGAAAGCCAAAACACAACCCAGTCGGGCACGGCCATGTGCTGCAACTCAACTGTGGTGGTCTTGTTCTAGTTTGTTCTTAGTTTGTTGTTTTCCGCGCGCCTTTTTCCGCAGCAGCTCCGTCGACTTTGTGGGGGGCCCTGGGCACAAGGGTGTTGCAAGCAGTTTTTTGCAGAGGCAAGTTTCCCCACATTCACGCTGTTTTTACGGAGGGCACGTCCTCGCGCGCACACGGCAGCTACCGGGCCGCCAGCCACGAAGCCTCGAAGAAAGAGAGGCACACCAGCGAGCAGGTCGCTCAAGTCCGGGCAAGGCCCATCAAGGTTGCTCAAGGCTGTCAGCGGAGAGCTGCAGCGCGCAACAAGCTGGACCACCGGTGGACATAAACACTTCGAAGAGCTTGGCGAAGGGCCTCGGGCGCGGCCCGACTCTGGCACACGCAAGGAAGCGGAGAAAAGAAGCAGCCTCTGACCCCAACGGCCCCCGACCTCGAGCACAACAAGGCAGGAGCTCGGGGTCGCTTCCTTCGGGCCGGGCCGGGTTGCGCCGAGAACGCGACGCAATTGTTGTCAACCGCGAGCGAGCCCGTTCGCAATAACGACGACGCAACGGTTATCAAAGCCAGACCGCCTCGGTCAGGGACAAGGGTGTTCGTGGTCACTTGAGACCCAGCCTCACGGCACACATGAGCTGCTGCACGCTCGAGCGGCCAACCGCGACTCCGGAGAGCACCGCACCGGACTGCACGGCGGTCGCCAAGAGGGCCGAGAGGGCGACGACACCGACAGGTGCGGGCAAAGGGAGGCGGAGGGGCTGCAGGAGAAGTGCATGCAAAGGCTTGGAAGGGTGAAGGGACGGCTGCTGACGGTCTAGGAAAACAGAAGCAAGAAGGGCAACGGGCCAGGCTGGGTCAGAACGTGCCTTCCCAGTGGGTGAGTGGGGACGCAGTTGTTGCGCCAACCGCAAGCTGGGCCTCATCAAGGTCAGGGACAAGGTTTTCGTGGTCACACAAGCCCCAGCCTCACGGCACACGTGAGCTGCTGCATTTTATATATATATATATATATATATATATATATATGTTTTATCACGGACCTCTTTTTTTTCCGTGCGCCTTTTCCGCCGCCAGAAACCCCCCTTTTAGGGATGCCTCCGGGCAGTGGAGGGCTTTGCGCGTTGGCTGTTGGTGAGCCGGGCAGCCTCCGGGCAATGCACGGCTCAGCGCACGCGGCTGGCGGTCAAGGAGGCTCCTGGCTCGGGCAACACGTCGCTCTACAAAGGCAACCCCCCATCGACATTGGAAGCCGAGTGGGGAGGGAGCGCAAGCAAGCCAGCATATGCTCTGCGGGCAGCCGCCGCCAAGAGCGAGCACCACCGCCGGGCAAGGGCGCTCCTTGGTCCTCCAAGCAAGGCGCAGCGCGGCCCCGTCCGCCCTACCTTGGTAGCGTCGGGGGCCGGCTGCCGACCTCAAAGCCGACACAAGGGTAGTGTCGATGGCAAGCTGAGCGCCGCCCCACAAGGGCAGGCCATTGGCAATGACTTCAATGCGGCGGCCATTGCCGGGGACACGGGCAATGTTCAGGTCCCTGACCAACGTGTGCGTGCTGACGGTGGCACCAGCCTCCCGGCACACTCTGGCGGCTGCACGTTCGAGTGGGACACCGCGCCCGCAGGACACGCCCGCAGGACACCCGCCCGAGGGCAAGCGGACCTGTGGTCCGACCACACGAGCACCGGGCTGAATAGCAGAGGCATGCGCGCGTCGCGACAGCAGGACTCGGAAATGCTGCGGCACAATCACAAGCTCACGACAAGTCGGCAACATGGTGAACACTTGACAAGAGCATGGCGGCGCGCCAGCCGTACCAGTATGCACTCTCGACCCGCGGGTCCGAGGCGCTGGTGCACACCCTCCAGCACCTCACGCAAACCACGTCCCGCCATGACCGTCTTGTCGGTCGATGGGTTCGGTGAGTCGGCTCGCAATGCTTCAGGCCTTGCAGGACACGCCCGACGCTTGCCATGCGTTGCCCTATGTTCGCCTGTGGTATAGCACGCCGTCCACCTACGTGTGGATTGATGGCAACAATGCCCCTTGTAACGGATTGAACCGGCGGGTGTGCGCGCCATGGTGCTCTCCGGGGCCATCGGCCGGCCCATCTGTTGTGTCTAAGGCCTCGTGCGTTAGCGGCGGTGCTCGGGCTATCGTCCCACAGGACGGCCTCCGGCTCATGCAATGGAGCTTCCGGCTGGTTTGGCACAGGAACGCCGGGCGGACAGGCTGCAACTCCGCAATCTCGATTTCGGCCACCTAAGCGCACAGCGTCGCGGGGGTGGCCGTCTGGGGGCGGTGCTGGCGCGGCGACACCGTCATGGGCATTGCACTGTTGCGCGTCGGCAAGGGGCCCTGGCTGGTGCTGGTCTTGGCGGCCACCTTCATGGGCATTGCTTTGTTGTGTGTCGACAGCTGGCATTGGCTGGTGCTGGTCTTGGCGGCCGCCGTCACATGGGCGTCGCTCTGTTGCGCGCACTGGTTTTGGCAGCCAGCGGGCGCTGGGGCTTGCCTGTCTGCGTTGGCTGGGTGGTCAATGGATGCTCGGAACGCATCCGCTGTTGCAACGAGCTGCGCCACCCGCCCTTCCCCTAGAAAGAGTAACAACAACGTTTCCTGAGCTGTGGGATGTACCCCTCCGGGGTTGTGCACCGCTCGACTGCCCAGGTGAGGAACACTGAAGCACTGGCGGGCAAAGAGGCCGACGCTTGCTGCAACACACGCGGTAGAGCAATGTCAGGGGCTGCGAGTTCAACAGGGATAGGCAGAGCGCACTGCAAATGCTGGAGCGCCTGCCGCCATGCGACCCCAAGAAACGCATGCATTGCCCGCTGCCCTGTCCAAGTTCCCCGTGGCAGCGTGGAGCAACGGCACGAAAAGCCAGCTGTTTGCTCCTGCTGGGGCTGCTCGGAGGCCCCCGTGATAACCACGGTGTGCCGCGCCTCGTGTGGACGTCTGGCAACGCATCGTGTTGTTGCTCAGGCCTTGCGGGCGTTGGTCCGGCTGCTGTGGGTGCAAATGTTGATGCTGTGGCTGCGGCTGTGCGCCTCGGTGAGACTAGGTGAAACGCACGACCGACCCCTACGCACCCGGCGCCCAACGGGCGTCGGAGAGCACGCCGCCTTCGAGCGGCGCACTGGCGTACGCGTCGCAAACGTCGGTGGGCAGTTGGCAGAGGCTCGCAGAGAACGCTCCCTGAGCTGCAACGGCTGCGACAGGTCTCAGTCTCCTCGCCACACCTCTCTCCAACTTCAAGGGCCAGCACAGTCAAGCGACACCGGAATTCCGGGTAGGTTACCCAATGCTTGCGCTCGGCCACGGCCCTCAAGGCGAGGCCGTTGGCGCGAGGCCGGCTGCTCCCGTCGCGCCTAAGCGGGCTGACGAGCGTCGCATCAACCGCCACCTGCACGCCTCCAAAGGCCGGGAGCCCATCCGCGACGACCTCAAGCCGGCGCCTGGCCCAGCCTGGGAGGGCAGCAAGGCCCGAGACGCTCCGTGAGCCTGACTTGTTTGCCGTCCTCGCCTCAGCAACCTTGATGGCCGATCCCGATGCCAGCGACCTGCTCGCGGGGTTCCTTGACGCGCCAGACGTGTCCCGCTTGCCGGCGCGGCAGTGCCTTGCACGAGGGGAGCTGGCCCCCAGGGGGGGGGACTCAGCGAACGTTGCTGCACTCGAGCGGGCAACCGCGACTCCGGAGAGCACCTGGTCGCCAAGAGGGCCGAGAGGGCGACGACACCGACAACTGCAGGAGAAGTGCACGCAAAGGCTTGGAAGGAAGGTGAGCTCGGGCCAGGTCGGACGTGTGGTGAAGGGCTCCCACGCGGTTGCGAGTGGAGACGCAATTGTTGTGTCAACCGCAAGTTGTCACGGCACACGCGAGTTGCTTGGTGCGAGAACGACAGAACTGAGACACAGCCGCCTGCCAACCGACGGCGAGGACGGGATGGGGTGCCCATTGTGTTTGCGGCGTTTTCCCGCAAAAGACCTCCGCCCGCCAGAGGGAGCATCAGAAAAAACCAACTGTTGACCTGGCCAAGTGGGACTGTGATTTTTTTGGATTTGGGCCTGCATGTCGGGGAAAAACAAAAGAAAAAATGGCGCCGGTGAGAAAGAATATCAAAATATACGCAAACCCTCATTGCAAACAAAATGCACCATGCGGAACCACGCATCACCATCAGCAGCTGCAAATTTCCACGGTATCGGCCACGTTTTCCCATTTGTTCCCCCGTGTATATGTGAGCCGCCACAGCTTCCGACGCTTCAACGGTCGCCCATGAGGAATGCATTTGACTCCAGCACTCGGGTGGCAATTTCGCAACTTACATTCCAAATTTCCAGTGGTGTCGCAATGAAAGCTTTGCCCGTGCCCTCTCGTTCCAACAGGGTAATATCTCCCAGGGGGCCAACGATTGCCCGCAGCAGCGTGCCTGCTCCAAAGCAAGCCACCAAGCTGACAGTGGATCTAAGGAATGTTAGGCGTGCTCTGATGCGGATAAGTGCATGATGATGAACCATTGGTGTATGTCCAGTTTTTTTAATTGGCTCAAGTTTGCTGGCTGCCTGCCTGTCCCCCCTTTCTGGTTTGGGTTTTTTTCCGTTGTGTGTTTCTCTTGTTTTTCGGGCTGCCCCTGGTTTCCTGCTTCGTGTTTGGGCTTTCGCGGCGGGCGCCACGGATCGCACAGCTGGGAATCGGGCCCCGTATAAACAAGCCGTGCCACAGCTGGGAGGCGGGCCCAGTATAAACAAACCATCCCCTGGAAGCTGTCCTGGTTAAAAACAGCTCTGTGATAAGACCTCCCCTTGGAGGCCGGGCACCACAAAACAAAAAAAATGCCCGAAAAGAACAAAAATTAAAAACAAAAAACAAAAAAAGGGGGGACAGTCCCCAGTACCAACTGTCAACACTAGGGGGGCGGCATGACCACCTGTCAACTGTCCTCACCCGGATGCCACCCCA